CTGAGCGATGGGGGTGGAGACGCTCCTTCAGGTATACTGGGCCGAAGCCATTTAGGGCTTTAAAGGTCAGCCCTGACACTTTGGATTGTGCTTGGAAACGTACCCTGACTCGCCCATGCAGTCCACTGATTAAGCCTTGCTGGTGGGTGCACCAGCTTTGGGGTTAATGGCAACAAGACCTTCAGTGTGGTTCCACTAGCATTGTGGAATTCTGTCTCCTTGGGAATTAGATGGGCACCTATCAGGAGCAGCCAGCAAGAAGGGGGCAGCACTGCAGACCTAGCCTCCATACCGCGGCATCCCTGCTGTGTACTAGGATGTTGATAAACAGGGTGGGGGGCAAGCTTTGGGTGGTTCGGATGCACTGGCAAAACCAATCCAGTACCCCATAACTAAGCTAAAATAATATTTCATTTGCATTGAGTTGGCATTGGCTTAGGGTAGTAGCAGACGACACATGTGAAGGAGGGGAGAAACACATATTGAATTCTTCCTGGGATGTACCATTCAATAATGCAGACAGAAATTGATTTAATTTACTTGAATATTTTCCTTCCTATACCGCTGGTACCATACTGCATCATTTCTTCTGTGAGGAACATATTTATATTTTTCTATGCATGTGAAGGACATCCAGTTCTTTAGATTCTCTAATTCTAAAAATGCCCAATGAACTGCACTATTTTATGCCAGTTGAGAACAAGAGGTCGCTCAGGTGCCCAGGGCCAGGGGTTATTGCAAAACACAACGAACTGATTATTTTCCAATATATCCCACCTGCTACGCAGCAATTGGAGCACTCGGGTACAGCTTGTAAGAGTTGTAGTGGCTCTAACCTATTGCCATCAATTTAAACAGAGCTTTAAAGTTACTTGTTCTTGAGTAGAGTGTTGTTGCAGTTCCGTAAATGATACTCTTCAATCCCTAGCCTTTGTTAGCTCCCAGGCCTCTTAAAGACTATACCACACACACAAAAAGTGCATTGAGATTAGAGAGCTAAGCTGTTGATAACTTCCTGTGATATCATCTTAATAAACCTCCTGTTCTTGATTAGCCAGGATAAACATGATATAGATTATGTGTGATAGCCGGCAATGTACTGCTGAACTGCCTGGTCATCACTTTTGAGATAAAACTGTCCATCTGTTTTGAGATAGCCATCAAGAACTCTAAGCTGCTTTTTCGGCCTCTTCTTTCCTGTACTCAATTAAGTTCTGAATGGAAATTTTAAAGAGCATGCCCTCGTTCCTTTAAATGTCCCTCTTGTAGCCATTGTTTATTGCAGAAATTATGGAAAGTCAGAACATGCTTGTCAGCACCGAGAGGTTTCTTAGAACTAAGGACCCAATCAGAGTTCAGGGAAAAAGCTCATGCAGTTAACATTTTAAGGCAAACCTACCTTTCTTGAGCTTTCCAAAACAACATGCAAACAAAACATGCAGTCATCCTTCAACATGCCCACTTTTCTGAATTTTACAATAAAGTTCCCCAGTTGAGGAATATGGGTAAAAATTCTTCCAAGGCCTTCTTCCACCTGCCTTGCTCCACCCTCTAGTCTCTGCTTCTCAATTTGTATTGTATTATTTTATGTACCGTGGCTTGCCATTGTTTTATTGATTATAGTTTAGAAATTATTTATTGTAACTGTTGAGTGGAATTCTGTTTAACTTTTATATGCTGATATTATTTTATACTATCCTAATGAATCTTGAATGTTCCTTTTGTGATGTAGGTTGCTTATTTTAAAGTTATGTTTTGTGTTGTTTTTATGATGTTAACCACTCTGAGCCCGGCCTTGGCCGGGGAGGCAGGATACAAATAAAAAATTATTAATTATTATTATTATTATTATTATTATTATACATTTCCATTCCATTCAACTCCATAAAGTTTACATTTGCTCTGGGTGTAAAGTGGGCACTTCATATGGAAAATGCTTCATGAATCTGGTATCTCTACTTACATACTTTTCAGATAATGTGGGCATGCAGCAATTGCTTGGTGCTTATTCAGCTGTTCAGATGGATCTGGCAATAAATAGCAGTTGGTACCTCCAAAACAAGGTGAGAGGGATGCAAGTCCTCTCTACCTTGCCAAATCAACCCTATCACGTCTCTTAACCCTGGAGCCAGTGTGGTGTAGTAGTTAAGAGCACTAGACTCGTAATCTGGGGAACCGGGTTCGCGTCTCTGCTCCTCCACATGCAGCTGCTGGGTGACCTTAGGCTAGTCACACTTCTTTGAAGTCTCTCAGCCCCACTCACCTCACAGAGTGTTTGTTGTGGGGGAGGAAGGGAAAGGAGAATGTTAGCCGCTTTGAGACTCCTTCGGGTAGTGATAAAGCGGGATATCAAATCCAAACTCTTAACCCTGTCCACCTAAAAGGTTCTCCTCTCTTCTCCCACCAGATCTGCTTCCATTTATTTCTCAGATATTGAATTTAGGTTCCCTTGCATTTCACCACTACAGTCCAAGGCAGGCATAATTAAAAACAACAGAATGTATGCAAGAGCCCGACATGACTGGTAAATGTAATTGCTCTTGGTAATTTTGACAGAAGCCAGAAAGATATTGGCAGGGGTCCTTGTGTGCCCTAGTTTTTCTGCTCTAGGAGGTACAACCTCTCCTGAGAGGGACAAGTTCCCTGCCAGGTCAAGGCAACAGTGCTGGGAAATGCTGGCCGCTCAACACCTCCCACTGTTCCTTGTGTGCTGAAAATTAAAAAAAAGCACCAATATTAAATGGTATAAACACTTCTTCTTTTTTGACATGGTACATTTGTATTCAGAGAGTGCTCTTAAGATTCCCAGTGCCTACCCAACAGGAAAAACAAAATAACAAACCGTCTTATAAAGTTTCCCTTTTACAGACAAGGGTCTATTACTGGATTATTAATGCTCTTAAAGTTAATTGTATGAGTAAGTGCTGGATTGGAGGCGAGAGTACGTGACTGCATCCTTCAGTCTTGTGGTTCAAGTGTCTGCAAACGCTAACTCACTTGGAACTAACTTGTGGTATTGAGCTACTGGCTAAGCAGTGAGTGGACCTGAAAGTCAACCCCATGGAAAATGTTTCTGTAGAGATGGGTTTGTAAATAACACATCTTTTTAAACATGAAGACTGATGACTGGGGGAAATGAAAAGCCAACTTGGTGTTGTGTCACTAAGAGCCAATCTACACATTCAGGGTAATCCGTTCAGGTGACAGTTCTCTGTTGGGACTGTTACTACTTCAGACGGCAAGTAGAGGTTGCATGCTTGAATGTGCCATTCCTCAAATGGAGGAATCCCTACATGGAGAAAATAAGCATATTAGGACCCAAAACAATAGCTTCAAGTTACAAGAAAGGAGATTCCGACTCAACATCAGGCAGAACTTTCTATTGGTAGGAGCTATTTGACAGTGGAATGGACTTGCTTGGAAGGGGGTGGACTTTCCCTCTTGGAGGTTTTTAAAGCAGAGGTTGGATGGTCACCTGTCATGGATGCTTTCGTTGAGATTCCTGCATTGCAGAGGGTTGGACTAGATGACCCACAGGGTCCCTTCCAACTCTATAGTTCTTTGATTCTATTAGCTCAAAAGAAAAGGGACAAATTTGAAGCTGTCTGGATGCCTTTTATTTGGGTTTCTAATGTAGTGGAACATAGATGCACAGCACCTCCTGCATATGCCCACCTTTGAACTTTTTGATTAGGATATACACCCATGTTATTGACGGGCTACCATTGTGCTTGCAGGTTCTTTTGGACTCCAACCCTGCCTGTCTGTTGTACTTCTTCTTGATCTGCTTTATGGTCCATCATAGATTATGCCTATCATTTTCGCTGGCCAGGTTTAATTCAAACCCATCAAACCTCCTTTGGGGAAGGTTCTCAGGCAGGGTGGAAGGAGAAAGAACTTGCCCATGTGAAGACCACTTGGTGGAAACCCTTACACATAAGGTTCTCAATTGTAAACTATATGCTGATCTCCATCAGCAATTTCTAGATCAACTCTGTATCCCCAAATGGAAACCAGAGTCGGAGGTCATACATTTTCTATTACTGGGGAATGATCAGGAGCTCACCAAGTTAGTGGTTAAATATCTCTATTTGGTTTTTTGTCGTCAGAATACACTGCAGACGTCTGATCTCCCTGGAGACCAAGAGATGTGACTATAGACTGCTCTGCCTCCTTTCTTTTAGCAAATGTGTTGTGCCACTAGGGAAGTGGTAATTCTGTATTGATTTGTTTTGGATGTTTATATGTGATGCCAATAAAAGGTTTGATGATGATGATGATGATGCCTATGCAGACAGTTTCTATTGCAGCCTGCAACCTTGCAACCTTTGGTGGTTGGTATTTACATGTTTGTCTTTTGCTTTCTGTATTTAAAATTTAATAAATAGATAAGAAATACAAAGCAAAGCAGGACTCACTCTGTGGACCACAACACTGGGGATGGGGTATAGCGGGGAGAGGCAGCCTGTCAGGTAACTTGGTCCTGAGCTGCGTAGGACCTTATAGGCCAACAATAAAATGTTGCACTTGGCCCAATGGCACATTGACAGCTAGTGTGATTCCTTCAGCAAAGGTGTTGCGTAGAGATCAGATGGGGGGGGGGGGAGAAGGTATGCTCTGCAGTCATTAATATCTTCTCTGACTGACTGCAATTATTTTATTGCCTCCGAATACATAGCTGTTAAAATGTTATTAGTGACCATAAAATTAAGCTGCCCTTGTTTAATCCTAGTAACGTGTTTGTCTTGATTATCTCCTGCAGTGCCGCGTTCTGCCAATCGGCTCCATGTTGCTGCGCTGAAACTTGTCTGATATTTCATGGTCATCAAAGAGCCTCTCCCCCCCCCCCTTTTCACAAACATGGTAAGTACTTACAGCCTAATACAGAGAAAGAGTGGATTTGCATGCATCCAGTCTCTTGGTTTATATCACTTGTCTGTGTTAGGGGTCCGGTTGGAAGGACTTCTTCATTTCAGTCCTCTCATATAAGCATACAAACATATGGCTCAGTTGGTAGAGAATGAGACTCTTAATCACAGGGTCATGGGTTTGAACCCCACATTGGGCAAAGAGATTCCTGCATTGTAGAGGGTTGGACTGGATGACCCTTGGGGTTCCTCTATGATTCTGTGATTTTCTCCTTTCTTTACGATTGTAAATTCAGCCCTCCACGTTTCTGCAGAAAATCACGGTTGTTGTTTTTTAATCCTCATGACAATGAATCAGCATTTTAGTGCTAATTTCTCCTAAGGAACACATTTTTATTTGCCTTTTTTTGACGACTGTGCACATTTTTGCAAGCAATTTCCCCTAATATAATGTATTTTGAATTGTTACTTTTACTAACATAGTCATGCACCCTTTTCTCTAGCATACGTATTTGTGTAAACGTCGTTCGGTTGAAGAACTGCGTCACAAAATCCAGCTAATTACAAATTTGCAAAGAGTGGCTGGGTTTCAGTTCTTGTACAGTTCCGGAAATAATAATAATAATAATAATAATAATAATAATAATAATAATAAAAAATTTATTTATTTATACCCCGCCCATCTGTCTGGGCTTCCCCAGCCACTCTGGGCGGCTTCCAAAAAAATATTAAAATACTGAAATACTGAAAGTGCAGATTTGATAGATTCAGCTTTAAATATGAACTGAGTCAAATTTCTGCCCCAGCCCTAGTTAGGTGTAAGAAAGGGGCTGATGAATATTAATTTACTATGTGTAATTACTATTCAAACACTTAATATATGGGGAGGGGAGTGTAAAACATTTGCTAGGAGGGAAAGAGTTAACTTTAGCTCCAGACCAAAATTGGTGGATGGGGGTCAAAGGGCAAAAGAGAGAGAGAAAGCACTAAGAGGCCAATACCCCGCTGGGCATAAACTTGACCTGCTTCTGACCTGTAGCTGTCACGAAGTCCTAAGAGTCATGGTCAGGTCCAAAGTGAGGCAATATGACCCTAGAGCTTAGCGTCGCCATGACAATGACCTCCAGCTATTATTTATTGACTGGCTTCTCTGCATGCCTGACTAGACCTCTGGTCACCGGTAAAAGATGTATTGATTATACATTAGTCTGCTCGAACTGGCTGGTATCATATGTTTGGAGAAACACATGCCGAACTGTCATACATTATTAGGTTTGGCATAATTCTAAAAGGACACAGAGAATAGTTTTCTTTTTACCTTGTGGCCGTGACGTTCACTAACTCAAAGGACACAAGCACGGAATGGGAGTCTGACATTTTATGTGGGATTTTGTACCAGTAAAATCTGAAGAGTTGTACACTTTTAAATAAAAAGTGCAACCTTATAGGGCCTTCTTCTCCGACATTCTTTCTGCACTTAGTTTCCCTGTTTATACATGTCCTCCAACATTTCTCCAGTGAAATTTTTTGTTGTTGTTGTTTAGTTGTGTTCGACTCTCTGTGACCCCGTGAAAAGAGCATGCCTTGGAAACTCTCACTTTCTTCTCAAAGCTTCTCCTTTTTCATGACCATGGAGTTTTCTTGGCAAAATAATGGAGTGGTTTGCCAGTTTCTTCACCAGGTGGATCACATTTAGTCTAAACTCTCAGCTATGACCTGCCCATCTTGGGTGGCCCTGCACGGCATAGCTCATAGCTTCTTTGAGTTATTTGACACCCTTCACCACGACAAGGCAGTGATCCATGAAGGGGCCAGTGAAAATAGGGGCATCCTATTCCATACTCTCCAACATTCCTCCAATGAACATAGAGACATCCCCTCCAACATTTCTCTGATGAAAATAGGGACGTCCTAAGGAAAAGAGGGACATTCCATGATCAAATCAGAAACTAGGATGGCTTCTCTAAATCAGGGAAGACCCTGGAAAATAGGGGTCCTTGGAGGGTCTGTTATGTCATCCCAAACTCTGAAAGTATACAATTCTATTTTTTTTATTTTTTTATTTTTTTGAAGAAGAAGAAGAAGAAAAGTGTGACTCTGATTTTTGAAGGAAACGTGAGATTTGGGCACCACCTGCACTATGCATTTAAAATAGTATCATACCACTTTAAATAGTCACAGCTTTCCCCAAAGAATCCTGGGAGCTGTAGTTTGTTAAGGGTGCTGAGAATTGTTAGGGTGCTCCTATTCCCCTCACAGAGCTACAATTTCCAGAGTGGTTTAACAATCAATTTCTCTTCCCGGGGAACTCGAGGAACTGCAGCTGAGGGGAACAATGGTCCTCCACCAACTCTTAGGACTCTTAACAAACTATATTTCCCAGGAATGTCTGGGGGGGAAACATGTCTCTATCAAAAGGCATGGTACTGTTTTTAAACCTACAGCACAGATCAGACCAAAACTGCACACATCCCTTCAATAATCACAGTAATGTTGTTCTTCTTTACTGCTTTAAATGTACCATGCAGATAGGGGCCATGATTATCAGAAATAGCATATGACAGTGGTTTTCAAGCAGTGTGCTGCAAATTTGGGATGTGTACACACTTCACATTGAAAGCATACACACACTCCGAAAGCCCTCAGAAACTGTAGTTTAAGGGTGCTGGGAATTGTAGCTCTGTGGGTGATAAACTACAGTTCCTGTGATTTATCTTTTTTGGGGGGGGGAGGAATGTGCTTTAAATATATGGTGTGTAAGCAACCTTAATCTCAACAGTGGTACTTGAGGAGAATTTTCACTTTTTCGTTATCAAAATTGCACCTCCCCAACGCCTTTTCCGCTCATAGTCTGTGGGGGGTGGAAGTGCTTGTTCTTTTCAGTGTGCGAAGTGCTTTACAATTTGTATCTCATTTGCAGCAGATTAAGTAGGAGAAAGGGAGGGGAAATCCACGAATATCTGGCAGTTCTGATTATGGGCTTGTTTTCCCTCACCATCTCCCACAGTGATTTAATGGGAGACATTAAAAGGAGGGCTTGCTTTACAGAGAGCCTGAATTACAGATGATTTTGTTAAATTAATTTTAGTCTTACTGAGCCCAAAGTAAGTTTTATTGATTCTTAACTGAATACATTTAAGCCAAACCATAAAAACCTCAAGCTCAGAGGAAGAAATATTACACGTGAGTGTCCAAGCAATATTTTATCCACTCCTATTAAAGTAAACAAGCAAGAAAACAAGAGTTATTACTACCATATGAAAACTCAGAAGGTGCCGATAGTGGTCATGGATGCTCAAGTCCAGACCATGTTGCATTTGCAACTTGTGCCCCAACAGAAGTGAATCGCCAAGGAAGTGTTGCAGATATTAATATTGTGCAGTTTGAAGCAACTGGATGCATGAAAACTGACTCAAGACCTGTAAGTTAAATTGAAACTTTGCTTGTAGAACTTTCCTCAAAACGTAACAGAAAAAAGAAGCTGTCCAACAGATACACCCAAACAGTTTCATAAGGCCTATGCCAGTCCAAGGCTCAGCACCTTCTTAGAAACAAAATAACCAGAGCTGACAAACTCTTTCACACAGGCTCCATTTTGCCTGCATTCCAGCCCCCAGGCTGTGTGCTCCGGGAGAGCCATTTTCATGCCCTTACTCCATGGAGCCTGGGAACAAAGAACCAATGGCAACACCCTTCAAAATGGTGATTTGCCATTCAATACCTCTCATAAAGGGACATCCTAGGTGGCGCTGTGGCCTAAACCACTGAGCCTCTTGGGCTTGCTGATCAGAAGGTCGGTGGTTTGAATCCCCACAATGCGGTGAGCTCCCGTTGCTCAGTCCCTGCTCCTGCCAACCTAGCAGTTCGAAAGCACGCCAAAAATGCAAGTAGATAAATAGGTACCACTCCGGCGGGAAGGTAAACGGCATTTCCGTGCGCTGCTCTGGTTTCGCCAGAAGCGGCTTAGTCATGCTGGCCACATGACCCGGAAAAACTGTCTGCGGACAAATGCTGGCTCCCTCAGCCTGTAAAGGGAGATGAGTTCCGCAACCCCACAGTCGTCCACAACTGGACTTAACTGTCAGGGGTCCTTTACCTTTACCTTTTTACCTCTCTTAAAATCTAAGGTTGAACACTCACATGTTAGCTAGCAGAAAACAACAAGAGTTTATTATGAATTCAGTTAGAGCTGAGAGAGCCCATTCTTGACCTCAGTATAGCCCCATGGAAAATCCCCATGTTAAAGCTTTTCACCGAAACACACAGCCATTCCTATGTCAGTGTCAATTAAACTATTATACTCAACAGGAAGGAGGTTTAAGAACAACAGCCAAGGAAGTTGCCATGGCTGCCCCCTAGCATGTGCGACTTGAGGAGGTCACCTTCCTTTGCTACATGGGAGATATTGCTGGAACCTTCTTGCCCCACCCACCTGCCTGGGATCCTTATAAGATGCCGCTTAACTATTCATGTATTTTCTGAAGCTTTTTTGTAGAGAATATTCTTTGCTTTGGAACAGAGATGTGTTTGGTTTTTAATACTGATGAAAGGTTTTGAATTTGTATCATCTGTGTTCTCGGTAGTGGCGCCCACCCTGTGAAGTGTCCTCCCATCAGATGCCAAGGAGATAAATAACTACAACTTTTAGAAGACATCTAAAGGCAGCCCTGTATAGGGAAGTTTTTAATGGCGGATGTTTTATTATGCTGTTATATTTGTTGGAAGATGCCTAGAGTGGCTGGGTCAACCTAGCCAGATGGGTAGGGTACTGTTGTTGTTGTTGTTGTTGTTGTTATCGTCATACCTTGGAAGTCGAACAGAATCCATTCTGGAAGTCTGTTCGACTTCCAAAACGTTCAAAAACCAAATTGTGGCTTCTGATTGGCTTCAGGAAGTTCCTGCAGCCAATCAGAAGCTGCAGAAGCCCTGTCGGACATTCAGGTTCCAAAAGAACATTTGTAAACAGGAACAATCACTTCTGAGTTTGCGGCGTTCAGGAGCCAAAACATCCAAGTTCCAGGGCATTCAGGATCCAAGGTACGACTATATGATGATGATGATGATAATGATGATGATGATGATGATGATATTTTTGCATTATTGTATTTGTATGCATCTTTTTATTCTTGAGAGCCACCTTGAGAACTTTCTCAGCTGAAAAGTGGCATAAAAATTAGTTACATAACATAATGGTAGGACTGGT